CGGGCGCTTTTTACGATGAAATAAGAATCTACACGAAGACCCTCGTTCCCGCGAGGGCCACGAAGACTGGTCAGCCGCCCTCCGGGCACCGAAAACCACACGAACCACGCACTCGCACACGCCGAGCCGCGCGCGGCCGGCGCCTCTCATGCCCTTCTCCACGCACACCGCGTGAAAGCCGCGCGTACGTCCCCGCGCGCACGCAAACACACGCAGCGCCAATTCTGAGCTGTGCCATGTGCGACCGCCCTGTCTAGTCAACACACTCTCTCGCTGCTCTCGGCTAGCACTCAGGGATCTCGACCCCGTGGAGGTGGGCGTTGTCCTTCTTTTCATCCTTGGCCCGGCGCAGCATGTCCGCACGTATCGAGTCGGGACCTGCGCTCCTGCTCACTATGTTCGGCTCGGCGGTGCGCATGTGGCACCGGAGGAGGTTGTACTTGAGTAGTACGAGAAGCGTGAACAGAATCGTCAAGCTGACGGAGCCGACGATAGCGCCGATGACAACGCCAGCGCTGGACCCGCCGCCGCCTGTGTTGGGCATAGGCGGCGGCGAGGGCGAGGCGGAAGGAGGCGGCGGCGAGGGCGAGGCGGACGGCGGCGGCGGGGAGGGCGAAGCGGACGGCGGCGTGGAGGGCGAGGCCGACAGAGGCGGCGGCGAGGGCGACGCGGAGGGAGGCGGTGGCGACGGCGTCCGCGAATGGCGGCGGCGGGGAGGGCGAAGCCGAACGCGGCGGCGGCGGGTACGAGGCCGGCGGAAGCGCAGGCGGGGACGGCGACGGGAGCATCATGCACGTCTCAATTCGGTTAAGGGGCTCCCCGTTATATTTTCCTTCGTAATCGTATCCTGACCCCTCCTTGTAGTCATAGACGCAGCGGCGCACCGGACTCTCGTCCGCGATGTTCGTGTAGCACTCGGTAGTCAACTGGACGAGGTCGGCGGTGGATTTGGGGCCGTCCTTGTAGGTTTTCGTCGGGTCGCCAGGCAGGCACGGGTTTCCGTACAAACGGGGCCTTTTGCCAGTCTTTGTCATGATTGCGTTGCACAAGACGCACGGGTCGAAGGCCGCCCCGATGACAAAGATGAGCGCGTCGAATCCCGGGGCGGCGGGAGAGGCGACGACCGCGGTCGTCACAGAGTCCACGTCGATGTCGAGGAGGGGCCGAGACGCGACGGCGATCGCCTCGCCGTCGGGGAGATTCGACGTGCCGTCGAGGATGGTCAGCCCGAAGAAGCCGCTGCCAACCTGCAGCGTCATGTCAGTGAGAAGGGGGGTGATGTCGCTCTCGTCAACGGCGCCCGTGACCGCAATCTCGATGGTCGAAGCCTTGCCGTCTGTGGGCGTGTTGGGCGAGGCAAACAGGTAGAGGTTGTTGCTCTTGTCCTGCACGACGGTCGCCACACGGGGCGTCGAGGTAAACGGGACGCAGGTCAAGATGCAGATCACGGTTGTGCTCGACGAGAAGTCGATGTACACGCTGTCCATGTCCGTGCCGGAGGTGAAGGTGACAGTCATGACGAGGCCGGCGGGGTGGGTGTCGCCCGAGCCAGCCATGTCGCCGACGCCGACTTCCTTGTTGTTCGTTTTGATAGTCGCAGTGAGGCCGTTCTCGGCGGCGACGCTCTCGATCACGCCGTTGGCAAAGGCGAGCTCGACGGTTTGCCAGGAGAGGGCGGTGTCCGCGTCGATGAGCACGCCGGACGTACCGATCGTTGCCGTGTCGCTCGAGTACGCAAAGATCTGCATCGTCTGCCCGATCTTGCGCCCAAAGATCGTGCCGTACGTGTCGGTACTCGCGAGCGATCGCCGGGCGCGGGGCGTGGCCAAGAGCGCCGCCCCCGCGGCCTTCTGCTCGCCGCCGACGCCGCCGCCGCCGCCGCTGCCGCTCAGGCCGGGGGCGGCCACGACCGAGGCGGGGGCGTGCTTCGCGAGGAGGAGCCCGGGCTCGCCCCGCACCGCCGCGGCCGGGTCGAGGAGGAGGAGGAGGGAGAGAAGAAGGGAAGACATCAGAGACATCTCGATTCTCACTGCTCGGCGTGCGCTCATAGGCTCTCCGGCGGCCTCAGGGGCCTTGCCGAGGGCCGCTTCAGCGCGGTCACAGTGCCGTGGAGCCGGCCAGCGTGCTCGCAGCCATGCCGCTGGTGGACCATGCCCGCCTCCCGCCCGGTGGCTCCAACCACAGCCCGCCTCACCGTCGGCGAAGCACCTCGGGCCCTTCGCGGCTGCGTTGTCTGTCCGGCTCCACGGGGCCTTTCCGAGACACTTCCGCGCGGGCCGAGGGACTCATCGACCCCTCACATCCCGGAGGGACGGCGCACGCGCTGCCCAGTGACCGGGCGGGTCGGCCCCGATTAGGAGCGGCCCCAGCCGGGCGGAGAAGACCATCCCACTCGCGGTGCGTCGCACCGGCCGGTCCGGTTTTCGTCTCGAGCGGGTCGCGAGACGGCCGCGAGAGCGAGCACCGCGGTCACAGTGCCGTTGAGGCCACGGACGTCGCCGGAGCGGCACTCCCGGGGCGCCACTCCCTCACCCGGTCGGGGGGGGGCAATCACAGCCCGCCTCACCGTCCGTGGAGCTTCCGTGGTCCGCTGCTCCGGCTTCGATTTTCGACCCTCCCGAGGCTGCTAGAGCAGCCCCGCGGAGCCTCCCGGATGCACCAGCACACCGTCGTCCAGGACGACGGCGCAGCGCTGCCCAGTGACCGGGCGGGTCGGCCCCGACTAGGGGCGGGCCCAGCCGCGCGGAGAAGACCACCGAGCTCGAAACACGTCGCCACGGCCGGCCGTTTCGCAAGCCTGAGCGGGTCGCCAGACACCCGCGAGAGCCAGCAGCTAGAGCGCCGTCGTAGCCGCAGATCGAGTCGAGGAGCTTAATGTCCACGGTAGCAGTTGTGGAGAGCGGTGGTGCGGTGCGTGTAGAGGGGTCGATCGAGGGCTCTTTTTCGAAACGCGACGGGTACGGCATGACAACTGCCAGTACAGTTTTACGCCGGCCAGGGTGAGAGCACAACAGGGAGCCGGCAACCCGTACGCTTTACGCGTGGCGGCCGGTGGCTGTCTGGAGCTCGTGCGAGCTGGGCCGACGCGTGGCCGAGCCGAGAGGACCAGCGAGCGACCACGTTGGCGATGAAGCTTGGCGGCCGGCGCCTCGTCGCCAGACGTCACAGCGGCGTGGACGCAGGAGTGTGCGGCGACGAGTACCGGCAAATCCGGCCCGGTGTGGCCGGCAGCTGCATAGCGCTGGCCTGTGACCGGCGCCGCGGTGGCGGAAGAGGCGTCTCGCCGCCGTGGCGGCGGTCGGCAGGTGCGAGCGTGACGGCCATCGTGCGGCAGAGTCCGGCCGCAATTTTTCTCAAGAACCTGACCGAGAATTGGCTGACAGTCCTCAGGCGGAGCCCGGTGCCGGTCGAACACCCCGGGTCAGCGATTTTGGCAAGTGAATACGGGCGCTTTTTAACGATGAAATAAGAATCTACACGAAGACCCTCGTTCCCGCGAGGGCCACGAAGACTGGTCAGCCGCCCTCCGGGCACCGAAAACCACACGAACCACGCACTCGCACACGCCGAGCCGCGCGCGGCCGGCGCCTCTCATGCCCTTCTCCACGCACACCGCGTGAAAGCCGCGCGTACGTCCCCGCGCGCACGCAAACACACGCAGCGCCAATTCTGAGCTGTGCCATGTGCGACCGCCCTGTCTAGTCAACACACTCTCTCGCTGCTCTCGGCTAGCACTCAGGGATCTCGACCCCGTGGAGGTGGGCGTTGTCCTTCTTTTCATCCTTGGCCCGGCGCAGCATGTCCGCACGTATCGAGTCGGGACCTGCGCTCCTGCTCACTATGTTCGGCTCGGCGGTGCGCATGTGGCACCGGAGGAGGTTGTACTTGAGTAGTACGAGAAGCGTGAACAGAATCGTCAAGCTGACGGAGCCGACGATAGCGCCGATGACAACGCCAGCGCTGGACCCGCCGCCGCCTGTGTTGGGCATAGGCGGCGGCGAGGGCGAGGCGGAAGGAGGCGGCGGCGAGGGCGAGGCGGACGGCGGCGGCGGGGAGGGCGAAGCGGACGGCGGCGTGGAGGGCGAGGCCGACAGAGGCGGCGGCGAGGGCGACGCGGAGGGAGGCGGTGGCGACGGCGTCGCGGATGGCGGCGGCGGGGAGGGCGAGGCCGACGGCGGCGGCGGCGGGTACGAGGCCGGCGGAAGTGCAGGCGGGGACGGCGACGGGAGCGTCATGCACGTCTCAATTCGGTCAAGGGGCTTTTCGTTCAGTTTCCCTTCGTAATCGTATCCTGACCCCTCCATGTAGTCATAGACGCAGCGGCGCACCGGATTCGTAGGGTCGTCCGCGATGTTCGTGTAGCACTCGGTAGTCTCCTGGACGAGGTCGGCGGAGGATTTGGGGCCGTCCTTGTAGGTTTTCGTCGGGTCGCCAGGCAGGCACGGGTTTCCGTACAAACGGGGCCTTTTGCCAGTCTTTGTCATGATTGCGTTGCACAAGACGCACGGGTCGAAGGCCGCCCCGATGACAAAGATGAGCGCGTCGAATCCCGGGGCGGCGGGAGAGGCGACGACCGCAGTCGTCACAGAGTCCACGTCGATGTCCAGGAGGGGCCGAGACGTGACGGCGATCGCCTCGCCGTCGGGGAGATTCGACGTGCCGTTGGGGAAGCCCAGCCCGAAGAAGCCGCTGCCAACCTGCAGCGTCATGTCAGTGAGAAGGGGGGTGATGTCGCTCTCGTTAAAGGCGTCCGTGACCGCAATCTCGATGGTCGAAGCCTTGCCGTCGGTGGGCGTGTTGGGCGAGGCAAACAGGTAGAGGTTGTTGCGCTTGTCCTGCACGACGGTCGCCACACGGGGCGAGGTAAACAAGACGGTGGTCTGCGCGGAGATGCCGATCGCGGGTGTGCTCGACGAGAAGTCGATGTACACGCTGTCCATGTCCGTGCCGGAGGTGAAGGTGACAGTCATGACGAGGCCGGCGGGGTGGGTCTTGCCCGAGCCACCCAAGTCGCCGACGCCGACTTCCTTGTTGTTCGTGTTGATAGTCGCAGTGAGGCCGTCCTCGGCGGCGACGCTCTCGATCACGCCGTTGGCAAAGGCGACCTCGACGGTTTGCCAGGAGAGGGCGGTGTCCGCGTCGATGAGCACGCCGGACGCACCGTTCGTTGCCGTGTCGCTCGAGTACGCAAAGATCTGCATCGTCTGCCCGATCTTGCGCCCAAAGATCGTGCCGTACGTTCCGGTGCTATCGAGCGAGCGCCGGGCGCGGGGTGTGGCCAAGAGCGCCGCCTCTGTCTCCTGCTGGCCGCCGCCGCCCGTTCTGCTGCCGCCACGGTTTCCGTCGTACATCTGGCGCCGGGCGACGATCGAGGCGACCGCACCATCATCCGAGCCAGGGGCGTAGCCAGCGATGGCCCGAGTGTCTGCCGCGAGAAAAGCCAGCAAAAGCAGGCGGGTGACTGCCATTTTGAGCTCAGCCGAAGATGCCTTGTTAAAGGTAACCCGTCCGGCACCCTCACACAGTGAGTATGTGTGTGTGTGTGTGTTCATTATAGCGGTGTGTCGTGCGCAAAACGCCACTTGCCGCGAAAACCTTCACTTTACTGTCACTTCGGGGCAAAAATCACCTACGGGTATGTTCGTAAGAGCTACATACACTGAAAAACCGTCACTTGGTAGGAAACTAAAACTTGGTAGGCCGGGAAGTTTCGCAGTGATCCGCACACTGCGCTCCAAGTGCTGTCCAAGTGCTGTCTAAGGAGGTGCGCTGGCTGGAGATCCTTGCGGGCGATATGCTAAGAAGAGCGTGCCTCGCAGCGTCCTGGCCAACTCTCGCTCCGCGCCATCGTTGCGCGCTTCAAGTCGCTGCAGACGCGCGCATGCCACGACGAGGTCGAGCACGCTTCTATACGCTCGCCCAGCCTTCCTTTCCATCCCATTAGGCAGCCTGGGAACGGTGGCGGTCAGAGGCAAAGCCTACGAGGGGTGGTGGAACCACATCTCACGGCTACTGCCGGCTCGACGCCACGATAGCCTCCGAAGGCTGACTTTGCGGCACCATCATCGGACGATGTCGACGAGTTGGGTCGCTCTCGCGGTAGCCAGATGACCTCTCTTCCTAGGAGCATCGATCGGCCATGGTCGCAGGGAGCGCGGGGGAGGGCGCTGGAAGCAACACGGAGCTCCGTTGGAGACGTTTTCAAGATTAGCGTGTCAGAGTGAATTGGAAGTAGCCGTTGGCGGTTGGGAAGAGGAACGAGGAGCAGGAGGGCAGAATCCCGCCTCAGGGGTGGACTGCTCTATTTATTTAAATTTACACTGGGCACGGGACTGGCGCGCACTGGCACTAGCACAGGAAATCGAGATCCTGACAGCGGGAATGCCGCACTTCGCTAGCCGTCTTCCCAATCTAGCCCTCGGGCGTGCCTCTCCCTAATCTAGCCCTCGAGCATGCACACGAACGGTCTCGCGTCGCGTCGGGCCGCACAGGCTCACCCGCAATGACCCCTCACTGAGCCCTAGCTAGCGCGGGTCGCAGGCGCCACATACCTCCGGGAATTCTTCGGCGACGCGGTGGCACGCGGCGGCCTCGCTCAGATCGAGCGCCCTCTCCAGCCAGACGACACGTTCCCCGCAGGCGTGCGGCCCCGCCAGCGAGCTGAGGACGGACTGCGTGCAACTCTCAGTCAGGCAGCGGCAGGACGCTCCCGATCAGGGCGCGCACTCGATCGCCTTGTAGGCGCCAAACTCGCAAAAGCGGCAGAGTGTCTTGCCGCCCGCGTTGCAACCCAGCCCCCCGGCCGCGCAGCCCGGGTCGTAGAAGCACGTCTCGAAGATGTTGCCAGTGCAGAGCCCCGCCTTGCAGGAAGCTCCCGGGGTGGATGGCGGCGGTGGCGACGGCGACGCGGAAGGAGGTGGACCATTGCGATTTCCTGCGAAGACGTAGAACTTGCACACCGTCAGCCCCGCCGCAGACGGCCGGTTGAGGTAGATGTAGCGCCCCAACGCGTTGATCT